CTTAGAGGGGAACCAGCAGTTAGCGTAATGGCTATGTCGCTGGACTCCCACGTAGTCGACCGCGGTTCGTGTCCCGGACCCGGTGGCTTAAAATTCACGCCGGGCGTGTGTGCGTGCGTGCTCAAGATCCCGAGAGGAGAATGGAGGGGAAGGGATTGCGGCGTGACCATCCCCCCTGGGGGGGTGATTTCTCGCTTTCTGTCTCTATGTCTCTCTCTGTCTGTCTGGCGAGCGCACGCGCCCTACAGTGAAAATCTCTCCAAAAAAAAAAAGTAGGCTTAGAGCACCTTCCGTAAGGGGAACCTTCACAGGCTAACGCCTGAGACAGAGGCCCGCTTGGTTGAGAGATTTGGCCATCTGAGCCAAAGTAAGAGTGGTAAGCAAGCAAAGGCAAAGAACCTGTCCATTCATGGATGACCACATTCAGCATCTCTTTAAACAATTCCTACGCAGGAAACACCACTGAGTTTCAGAGTAGTTTCCGACTGTTGCATAAGAATAAGCTTAAGGCTACAAAGTATCCAGGTTAGAGATCTGCTACCAGCATGCCTCCTAAATTTTTCCAGATTATTTGAACCAATTGGGTGTACAGAACCACCCACTAGACCCCCTTAAAGCATTACCCACAGTTAAGTGCAGAGTCACTGCTGGGAGATGGCTTGAGTGTGACCAGGAACACCAGGGAGAGGAACGTGGTAAATGGGGTTCTCACGCAGTTGTGTCAGCTAGAGTTCCTGGTGAACTAACCTTCCAGGCATTTTCAGTGACCTGGCTGCAGTACAAGTTAAAGTTGTGATACATCCTCTCAGTTACATGGCCATATTTCATATATTCCCTCTGGCCTGCCTTCTGGGTTTTCAAAGTTCGAGTAACATCAGGGAGAGCGAGCCTGTGCCACACACTTTCTACGGCTATAAACCAGTAGCCAGTTTCTGTCCCCTGGCCCATCCCTCTGCCTCTATCCCAGTGAGGAACCACTAGGTTGAACCTCGCAGTAACCTTCCCCAGGTCTCCGTCTGCTTTTTCCTCCCCCTCATCCTCCCTTTCTCCTTTCTTTCTTTCTCCACTCCCTTCCCTCCTCTGTCTCTCCCTTTGTTTTTTCTTTCTCTTCTCTTTAGAGAGTTTATTTATTGAAGGATGACAGACTTGAACGTGACAGGAAAACACTGACCTGAAGGCAAGCAGAATGGTAAAACTGGAAAAGGATTTGCATGTGATGGACACATCTCAGAGTCTGTTTGGGTGCTAGGAATATGAACTTATCTTTGTTAACCAAGGTGCAAGCTTTTAACTTTTCCTCCAAAATTTTTTATCCTTCCTACTAGGAATATGACTGCCTATCAGACATGGGAACTACAATATTTAAAGTGAAAAGAACCCCAAATCTTTTACGTGATTGCAGGACAACAGTGCCCCCTAGTGTGGAGTACAAGGAAAACAATTTGAATAACAGCTTTCCAAAAACCACTCACTCTAGAAAGATGAAAACCTCGTCATCATTTATTACTCCTCCTACCTCCACTGTGGTGCTGGGAATGGGTATGGCCTTCCGAGCTTTGCTTTACCCTCTGAATTGACAAGGACGTAAGGTTAGGCACACGATAATAAACGAGGGTTATCTGGGTCCACCTAGCAATTCTTTTCTAAATCCCTGATGTCATAACTTTAATCACATCAATCACTTAATTTTTGCCAGAGGTTTATGTGCTCACTGGAGGCAGAGAAAGAGGGAAAGTGAGGAAGCACCCCATGGGGAATGGTCACGGGGCAATTTCTCGACCTCTCCCTTTTGCTATTCTAGGCACACGCATGTGTGTGCCCATTTATTTTTCAAACTGCAAGGTCTGGGACCCAACCCTGTCTGCCATGTGGGATCTAGCGGTCTTAATCACACCACGGGCTAGCCCCTTTACAAAAACAAAAGAGGGCCAGCCAGTGGCATGGTGGTTAAGGCAGCTGGATAACACATGGCCTCACAGTTCAAGTCCTGGACCCAGTGGTTTGAAAAACATTCTGGGTGTGTGTATGCATGCCCCCAATCCTGAGAATAGAGGAGAGGAGACTGTGGTGTGGCCATCCCCTGGGATGTATTTTTTTTTTTCTCTTTCCCTTTGTCTCTCCTGTGAGCCCTACAGGAAAAACTTGGCAAATATAAATATAGATATATGTATGTATTTATAGTCTTGGATCATGGTGTTTTCCAAAACAATTTCTGTCCTAGTGAAGCACTATCAGTGTTCAGTCTTTGCACAAGTATTAAATTTTAGAGTTTCTTGCCACACTTATGTGTAATCCATAAGACATAAATACTACAAAATATCCCAAACAGAAAGAAGCAGTGGATTAGTTTGCTCAGTCCCGAGTTTTCATTCAGCTGACCTACACACCTCCAAACTGAAAAGGAGAGGCGTACACCGAACAGCATCTGCTCCGTGTGGTCAGCTGGAATGTCTGATACATACCACGACATGGAGGAGCAGAGGGGCAGGACAGCCCCACACTCGGCAGACAGGACAGAGCCACAGGGATTTGCAAAGTGATCTTAGAGGAAAGCAGCTGGTTGGTTTTTCCAACACTTTGTAAAAAGCGTGGTTGTGTTTTAAGAGCTTATAAAGTCACACCAGGGCCACCTGTCTCTGGCCCCAGACGAGCTATCTGAAGTGACTAACACTGCTTTATGGCAGTGGGCGGGCACTCCCTGCCTTCCCCGCTTAGTAACCTCATTTTAACTCGGCTGGCACCTCCACCCATGCTGAGGATGGGCACCAGCGCCCTGACTGCCAGCCTGAGAGGAGTGCGGGGTGCCAGGCTGCAGTCTAATTTCGGCTTCTGTGCTAATACAGCCTGAACCCGAACCAGGGCTCAGGACTTGACTTCACCTCCACCTGAGGAGCTATTTTCTTCCTTAAGCTGGAGGCCATATTCTTGTGGGTATGAAATTGGGGCTTAAATCTGCTTGAAACTACCGTCTGACAGTTTTAACAGAACAAATAAAACTGGTTAATCCAAATCACTTTGCAAACTCCATTTTTATTTGGATTAAAAAGCTTTAGATGAACAAACATATGATACATACACATTATAAGACTAGTTACCACTTAAACCTCAGCTGATGATATGATACAGGAATTAGAATAAACCAAGTTTTAATCAGATCTGCAAACATTCAAGCTGAAAAGTTAACACCAATTTGGGGATTTTACACAAATAAGTGTCCCCCCCACTCAATTCTTCCTCACAGGAAGGGAAAGGAAGGATTAAAAAACAAAACAAAACAAAACAATGAAAGGCCTTTTAAATCATTTGACTGACAACATACTATTTTAAACCTCTAGGTTTTTCCCATATAAACAGAGTTCTTCTCCACAGGAAGTTTCATTTTAAAAACATCTGAACCACTACTTTCTAAGCCACATTACTATAGTTCCTAGAACTCATGGGGGGGGGGGGAAGGGTATAGTTTATTTGTACTTTCTTAAGTCAGGACTTTTAATTTGTTTCCTTTCTT